ATTTGTTTTTTGTTTTGTTTGTTTGTTTGTTTTTAGGCAAGAAGTACAAACCAATAGATTTTATGGCCTGTTTATGTATGAGTATTGGCTTGATTTTATTCACATTAGCAGACAGCAAGCTTCAACCCAATTATAACTATACAGGTACTTATATAAGTGAAACAGGAGACTTTGATATTATTTAATGTAAATAATGAAAAGATCATTCTTAAAGTAAGTTTATTGTCAACTGTCTGATTGGTAAATTAGTTWATAAAGTGCAAATTTACACTTCCATTTTCACAATATTTGTATTTTAAGTAGTGTTTAAAAAACGAGCAGGAGTGCTTTATCGGGAGATAAACACGAGGCCAAAGGCCGAGTATCTATATCCCCGATAAAGCACAACTGCGAGTTTTTTATACTACTTCTAGAACTCCTATGTGCATTTGTCACAAATGAAAGAATTTTGATCCCACACGTAAGAACRGCTAGTCTATGCTATACCGCATATCTGCACATTGATTCAAACTGATTTAAAACCTAGCAAAGGTCTATGATGTGACATTAAAACTGAGACCTTTGCTAGTGTTGGGTTGCGCTAAAGCGCTGATGACCTTCAACATCAGTTCTTTATATCTGATATAGAACTGATTAATAAAACATCAGTTCTATATCTCTGATATAGAACTGATTAATAAAACATCGGTGCTTTATCGGGATATAAAGGTCCATCATGTGACCCAATAGTTGGATTCTGATTGGACTAATAGCTCATGAATTATTAATGAGTTCTAGAACAACTTATCAAGAGTTAGTGTAATTGTTGTTATTATTTATTTTTTTCTCTCTCTTGTGAACTTGTCTTTTAGGTGTTGTCTTAATATCACTAGCATTATGTGCTGATGCAATCATAGGAAATGTCCAGGAAAAAGCAATGAAATCATATGGAAGTACAAGTACTGAAGTGGTTAGTGGTGATTCATCCAGTAGACTGGAATCTATAGATAGTATACATATAAATTAGCCTCAGGAGAAATAGGTAGAAAACTTCCCTTTGAGGAGTAGGGGAAGATCAGACACTTTGGAGAGTARGGGGGAGGGTTGGGGACTGTTGCTCCTCAGACTATCTATTTATTCATTACGGCTTTTTGATTGATTTTGTGATTGACTGATTATCATATATATTGACTGATTTTGGTTTGTCATTGATTAATTGCATGTCTGATTGATTACCCTATTGATTGGTCATTTTATGGATTGATTGGCTTATTATAGTCCTTTGATTGATTGATTGATCACTTATGATTTCAAGATTGATTGCTGAATTATTTTAATTAATTTTTTTATTATAATGTTTTTATTTTATTTCATTTATTTTGAAGGTTTTGTACTCATATGGCATAGGGTTTATTTACATTCTTTGTGGCTTAACWGCAGCTGGGCAGCTATGGGATGCAATTGTTTTYTCATCCCAGGTAAAATGGTTGATTTGATTATTTTCTTGTCTCTTCTTCTTTTAAGATATTAATAAGATCATTAAAATGATCCTTCTCCAAGAGATCCTCTGATACTTTTAAGACTACCTAATTATAACTCTATTTATCTTAACTTTAGAAACCCTTTCAAGTGTATGGAATGGCATTTTTATTCTCTATCAGTGGCTATTTAGGAATATTATTTGTGTTGATGTTGGTGAGGATTTTTGGTGCTTTAACAGCAGTYACAAGTAAGAAAATACTTGACAATTAACTGTTTTGATGCTTCTTATGTAATTTGTGTACTTAAATTAAATTTCAAACATCCACAAATTTTGACCATATTTTTATGAAATTCCCATTGCAAAGATTTGTTCATATTTCTCCAGCTCTAAATCCAGGATGTTTATATTATGTTTACTGTTTAGTTTAACTAATTGTTATCATTTTGTCTGTTTGTAGTTACGACCTTTCGCAAAGCAGTCACAATTGTAATGTCATTTTTATTCTTTACTAAACCTTTTACAATGCAGTAAGTATTAAAATACTCTATTTTGTAAAAAAGTAAAAATGTTATGAAATGAAATGGCCAACAGTTATCAAAATACAGTCCTTTGAGGAAATTCTGATTGCTAACATCATATTTGTGTGCATCACTGGGAATTTCATGTAATTATAACTCTTTCCTCAGTAAATAAGAGTACACATAACAAGTTATGAAAAGCTCTGTCCCTAAGAGAAAGGAAAGATCAAAATCCAATTAAACAACGAAGAAGGCATATTACAACAGTCTACTGTACATAAGGTTGTATTTTGTTTTCAGTCAGAATTTCTTCAAATGTTGTACCTAGATCATATTGGRAATAATTTAAATATTGAATATCCATTGCTATTAATTCAATGTTGAATACTCTATTTTAATTTGTTTCTGTATTTAGATATATTTGGTCTGGTTTCGTTGTTGGCCTTGGAATATTTCTTAATGTGTACAGTAAAAACCAGTCCCATTTCAATGCTRTATTTATGAATTATACAATATATTTTTCATCATTTCTACGTCCAAAACCCAAAACCAGAACTGTAAATGTATAACTTTTAAACTACAATTCTTGTATTTCTAATAATTGCAATTAATATATAACTTTTACTACCCACAAATCAATATTTATTGATAACAGATGTATCAAATATGCTTGTAACTTATCCAGTTATATTTTTACAAATATTTTGAGCATACAATTTGCAACCTCTKGCTTAATTCCCCCAGTTCTATTGTCATCTTATGACACTGGCGACATAGTGAAGTGCAGTTTCAAATATTCTAGGAATATTTAATGTCCAAAGACATTCAAATAGAAGTTCTGTATTTAATAARAGGTTAAAAACCAATTAAAAGTACAATTTTCCAAACATGTTATTTTTGTTTGTTGAATGGATARTTTTATATTAGTAAGTTGTAAGAAAAAATTTCTATGTACAAGATTTAATGAAAACTTGGAGTGGATGTCAAAGAGTTTTTATACAATGGTGCATTTTGGAACATAAAGAAGCCTTTGTGTTGTGATACATGTAGCCAGTTTTATAAGCTAAATACTGTCTAATTTGTTGTTTTCTTCGCATCAAACCAAGCTACAATAGCTCTAACAGCAGATAACATCTGGGACGGACTGTGCAGCGGCAGCCAGAGGCGCCAACTCAAGCTCACAGTCTACCAAGACTCTCATGTTTTTTGTAGTTGTCATGTAGTTTTAAAGCGCTTAGAACAGAATTGGATAAGCGCTATATAAATAGGATTATTATTATTATTATTATTATTATTATTATTATTATTATTATAAAACAAGTAACCTTATAGATGTATCTGAAGGATTGATAGTACAAACAACTTTTAAATGCACCTCATGGTAGGATAATATGAAACCATTGCATTTCTATAGCAAATACTATGATCAAAGACCTTCAGTAGCATCAGTTATTAAGAAAATATTTTGGTCAACAGTGTAACAATAATTATAACCACTACCATCAGTTTAGCAGCAGCCCAGAGCTTGTCAGGATTGTCATGCTGGACTGTTCTTGATCTTGTTGAATACATGACATTGTCATCAGCTTTCATTATTGCTTCTCTTGCACCTGACCAAGTACCAGGMCCCACTAGACGGTACTGTGGTGGGGTACAGGGACCAGTGAGGCAATAATAGGCAAGGACTGGGTCTGTTAAAAAGAGTTTAACCCAGGAAGGCTTGCAACCAATTTGCTCAGCCAGTTCATCACTGTATGAAATGACATCCACCTATCATGTGAAGTGTGCAGCGGATATATTTGTTATAGGTTGATATTGTATAATATAGTAAGTAATTCTAACAGCTTGTCTGATCCACATGTAATGTAAGAGAGTATATGCATGAAAGATCTTTATTGAGCATTGCATAGGGATTTCACTCTAATTAGTGCAAAAACGTTTAGTTAACTTAGCTTCCAGGCTCAAAAAATAAATACTCTTTTCTCTGATCGGTTTAAAATTCATAAAAATGTGAAAGGAGTATTTACTTAATAAAATRATATAGAAATTATCAATGTAAATAAATCTTGAAACTGAGCAATAAATATATATTGTATGATTGTTATTGTATTGTTGCCATAGACGAAACGAATCGTTTGCACCTGCCCGTGCGGCATGAGTCATCTTTTTGATTTTTCGTCAAGTAAAAAGTAAAAGTAWAATTCCTCTAAGTTAGCGGCTTAATTCAAGAAAGCATCAGTGCAGAGGACTGACAAGAAGGTTTTTAYACCACATACCTGTATTGTGTGTCGTTTTGAAGTATAGTACACTGTTGCCATGGCTTCTTTTTTCATGTTGATGTCTTTCATCATYTCAGATTCTGATGGAAGCAMACGRCTCCCCTTAAAGACCAGTGTTGCCCATCGGCTTTGTAAATCTGCAATCGGGTTAATGGCCCCATTTGGTTGGAAGCAGCCAATCACAGCAAGTGTTGACTTTGTGAGGTGTGGTGGAAACATATACTTGTACAGGGTGACTTTGTTGTCCTCAACATCAATAATTGACTTATCAAGGAAAGGAAATCCAATGCGGTAACCAGTGGCAAATATTACAACATCTACCTGGTCAACACTAGTGCCGTCAGTGAATACCACACCTGACTCGGTGAAGTGGTCAATGTTTGGTTTTACAGTTATGGTTCCATTCAGAATCCTGAYAGGAAGATCATCATTCACTGTTGGGTGTTGTGCTATTAGTAAATGATTTGGTTCCAGACCAAATAATTTATGATCAAATTTCTTGTTCATTCTTGCCTTGAACATTCGTACCCGTAGAGATGCAGGTAGCATTGTAAATATGCGACTGTTCCCGTGATCAATAGGTTTCCCATTGGCACCGAGTCGTGATAAAATCCAGCTTCCTTTTCTGGTGCTTAGATATACTTTTGATGCATGACTTCGGCTTAGCTCAACAGAAATATCCCCACCAGAATTACCAATACCTAGAGATGAACAATACCATTATAACCGCTATATAATTTTGAAATCTATACAACTAACTGGAAAGGATTAGATTATCAATAATAATAATATTTGTAGGATTTATTACTTACCTACAACGACAACTGACTTTCCTTGGAATTTCTTGAAATCTTTGTAAGCATGACTGTGCATTTTGACACCCTTGAAGATGTCCATTCCCTGGAATGGTGGACTGGGCCAGTTAGGATACGCATGGTGACCTATGCAYACCATAACCGCATTGAAMACCTCTTTCTTTTCCTGGTTTGGCGATGRATCTACAYTGACAGATGTTACAACCCAGTTACCAGTTTCGTCRTGATCGTCGGCCTTACAAACRTCMAGRACTTTGGTTTGAAAACGAAYATATTTGTACAAATCRAAGTGTTTGGCGTAAAGATGGAAGTACTCCATGACTTTTGTGTTATGCATAAACGGAGGGAAATSTTTAGGAATTGGAAAATCGGAGAAACACGTCATTTCTTTGCTGGTGTTGATCACAGTAGAACGATACACGGAACTGTGGCGTTCTTCTTCAGTAAAGTTCCACAAACCGCCGATGGTGTCYTCTTGTTCAAAACAAACTGGTTGAAGACCTTCTTCAAGGCATGCTTTCATCGCTGTGAGACCGGAGGCCCCTGACCCGATCACTGCKACCCTCATGACAATGTAGTTGTATCAATCACTGTAGAAAAACAAGAACAAATCATTTGATGAGTCGCGGTTAAAAAGGTCTTTAAGCTGAAGCTGAAAGAGCATAAATGTGAAAGAGCTGAAAAAAGGAGCTGAAACTGCTGAAAACTCACAGCTCTTAAGAGTTTAACGCTATCGCCACCCTTGAACAGTTCAATGTTACGGGTCAATGTTGGACTATATAACAAAAAACTGCCGAATACAAAAACAACGCTATGACGCATTCTAGTTTTTCATTAGCTGCAACCACTTGAGGGATTTAATTCATGAATTGAATTGTTCAATTTGAGAACTTGGCTGTCAAAAAGACGATCAAGTTCATATTTAATTACATATTTGGGAGTCGCAAGTTGATTATTGGGCATAGTATATGTATCAKAGAAAAAATTATCAAAATTATTAAAAAAACAAATAAGTAATTTATGTATAGGATAATGAGTGAGCTACGAGGMTTATTGAAAATAATGACCGAGCGCRCAGCACGAGGCCATTCGAGCGGATTTCGTATGTCTGCAAAAAACACGGTTCTTTCGCGCTGTGACCGTACCGTGCCGTAGCGGTGATGTATTGTTAAATCTTTATTTTCATTTGGAATCCTAGAAGGCGAGGTTCCGTGACCGTGCTGTGCCGTGCCTGTTTCGTGATCCATGCCGTTGCACAGTCTCATGCAGTCACTTTTTTTAATGAGCCGAGGAGCGAGGCCATTATCCCCATTTAATATATACTCATTGTTTTCGAAGAAACGAAAACGTGCCTTTCAAAACTGTTGTTGTTCGTGTTTTACAATAAGCAGGCTAATTAGTGGTTTTGGTTTTGAGCGGTTTTCTAAAACCCATTTTGCCRTTAAAACTTTTACATACAATGAAAACTATAAATCGGAAATCTTATTGGCTTCAAGTAAGTATAACAATCTCTACGCTTTGTACTTCAAATTATANTCGGGCCGTGCAGGAATTTTTCCCCAAAATCTTCCACTCTCCCCCCTCCCCCAGAAATTCTAATGGATCGCACCTACCAACAAGGTCTCCCAGACAAGTCAGGGCATGGACAAAATTTGACATTTGAAATAAAAAATTAAAATTAACTGAGTGTCTGTAACGTACAAGGGACACTGTGCTCCCACACTCACTGTATCTCTAGCACAAAACAAATTACATGAAAAAGTGATGAAAAACGTTGTTTTCATTTCAAAAATTTCTGAAAGTAATCTAGTTAACCGTGATTCGAAAAAATTAGTCGTGAGTCGTGAAATAGCCAAATTTTTAGCCGTGAGTCGTGATGCGTACCACCCCATTGAGACCCTCTTAATAGTTGCTTCATGACTTCCAATGGCAGTGGAATACACTAAAAAATAGTAAACAGAATATTTTTTCATGCATTGCTTTTGAAGAATATGGTTACAAACTCCATACAGTATTGGAAAACAAATTTGTGTCTTCTTGAAGTGCAAACACCGCTAATCATCAMTTTATTATTTCGCCCGTCAATACGGAGTGAAAGGCCATATACAGTTTAATTTTCATTAGAAATACACAAGGAAAAGACTCAGAAAAGGGCCTTACTGTTACATAACTCAGCCTTCAGATTTCTCTGACCATTCACCTTGGCCCTCTTATACACTGGTGTGAACTAGCGGTAAACTAGTGTGAGCTGCGTCGGTTTTTCTAAAGAAACAGTTCAATTGTGTAAAAAGATAAATTAAACACCGTAAAAAAGTAGGTGAAGTAACTTACTGACGTTTCGGACGTTAATCCTTCGTCGGAGTAAAAGTGATGAAACACTTCCTTTGCTTTTTTGTTTATTTCACGTTACCATGCCTACTTTGCTCCTATTGGTCTATTTTCTTTCTTACTCCTACTATATAAACTCACCCTTTACATATTGCTAGAGTTTAGCGCATCTCTGTACTGAAGACTGCAGCTTTAAAGTTTTACGGTGTGTCTCAGGATTAACTGTAAGATAGGCTCACAATTCAACAGCCATTTTAGCCCGCGTGCAGGCGTTCAGCGTTGTGGGAGCGAAGAAGCCGATCCCTTCGCTCCATTCCCTATTCTTTGCTCTGCCATGAACAAGGTGACGCACAGCCTACAGACCTTCGAGTGGCATCAATACTTTAGAGGGATTTGTCAAAATCAGCAAGAAAAGCCGAGTTAGTCGCAAACTTTCTTACCGACCCCAGGTAACATTCCCCTCTGCATGCCTTCTTTGCATGTATTGCCCTTGACCTAACCAACATCTCGTCTCCCCACTGAACCATCCCCCCCCTTCTACCGGATCGGAGCATCTGGTCATGACAAGAAAAAGACCATRATATCCACGAATGATCACTCAAGGGAATGTCTAATCGAGATTCCTAATCTTCTGTTTCCTGCTCAGCTGTGATTGCCCATCTTGTATTTTACATTGTGTACATCTTCATGCATAGTGTCTTTAATACCTTTACAAATCAATGTCTTATAAACTAATATCTCATATAAATAATACTGCATGCACGCTTGCTTATTGATCAAGCTGACTTCATCTAATYTAAGAGAACAGTTTGATAAGTAATGCAACWACAATCATGAACACAATCATCAKTTTAGCARCAGCCCAGAGCTTGTCAGGATTGTCATGCTGGACTGTTCTTGATCTTGTTGAATACATGACATTGTCATCAGCTTTCATTATTGCTTCTCTTGCACCTGACCAAGTACCAGGACCCACTAGACGGTACTGTGGTGGGGTACAGGGACCAGTGAGGCAATAATAGGCAAGGACTGGGTCTGTTAAAAAGAGTTTAACCCAGGAAGGCTTGCAACCAATTTSCTCAGCCAGTTCATCACTGTATGAAATGACATCCACCTATCATGTGAAGTGTGCAGCGGATATATTTGTTATAGGTTGATATTGTATAATATAGTAAGTAATTCTAACAGCTTGTCTGATCCACATGTAATGTAAGAGAGTATATGCATGAAAGATCTTTATTGAGCATTGCATAGGGATTTCACTCTAATTAGTGCAAAAACGTTTAGTTAACTTAGCTTCCAGGCTCAAAAAATAAATACTCTTTTCTCTGATCGGTTTAAAATTCATAAAAATGTGAAA